TACATACACACCACACATACGCCATATATACACACACCACACACACACACTCCATATATACATACACACCACACATACGCCATATATACACACACACCACACATACACTCCATATATACACACACCACACATACACACTCCATATATACACACACACCACCACACATACATACTCCATATATACACACACACCACACATACACCATATATACACACACACCACACATACACACTCCATATATACACACACCACACATACACCATATATACACACACACCACACATACACCATATACACACACATATACCACACGTACACACTCCATATATACATACACACCACACATACACCATATATACACACACACCACACACACACACTCCATATATACACACACACCACACATACACACTCCGTATACACATACACACCACACATACGCCATATATACACACACACCACACATACACTCCATATATACATACACACCACACACACTCCATATATACACACACACCACACATACACCATATACACACACACACACTCCATATATACACACACCACACATATACCATATATATACATACACCACACATACACACTCCATATATACATACACACCACACATACACCATATATACATACACGCCCCACGTACACACTCCCTCCCACATCCAACCCACATATACACACACACCACACACACACACACCACACATACACATTCCCTCCCACATCCAACCCATATATACACACACCACACACACACACCACACATACACACTCCCTCCCACGTTCAACCCAAATATACACACACACCACATGTACACGCTCCCTCCCACACACAACCCACATATACACACACCACACACACATTCCCTCCTACACCCAGCCCACATATACACACACCACACACACACTCCCTCCTACACCCAGCCCACATATATACACACCACACACACACTCCACATATGCACACACATCACACATACACACTCCCCCCAACCCACATATAAACACACACAAACATACATACGCACACACATACACCATATATACGCAAACACACACTCATATATACACACACGTACCACACATACATACTCCCCACCACACCCAACACACATGTATACACACACCACACATACACATACACTACACACACATACATGCACACACCACACATACATACACACACGCACACATATACACACACCACACACATATCCATACAAATACCACACATGAATACACACTCCCACCGATATCTGCATTATACATACACCACACCTCACACACACATGCACGTACCAAACATACACACACACATACATACATATACACACCATGTACACACACACCCATATATACACACACACCACATATACACACTCACACACTCCCTCCCCAAACAACAACCAGAACCAAACCTATTGCTGTTGAGTGGATTCCGACTCATAGTGACCCTATAGGACAGAGTAGAACTGCCTCATAGTGTTTCCAAGGAGCAGCTGGTAGATTTGAACTGCCGACCTTTTGGTTAGCAGCTGAACTCTTAACCACTGCGCCACCAGGGCTCCCACCCTGTCCCACACCCACATGTATACATACACCACACACACACTACACACGTACACACACATACACACACCACACACACTCACATAGGTACATGTTGTTAGGTGCCATCAGGTCGGTTCTGACTCATAACCACCCTCATGTACACCCTGCGCCATCCTCACAATTGTTGCTGTTTGAGCCCCATCATTGCAGCCACTGTGTCAGTCCACCTCGTTGAGGGTCTTCCTCTTTTTCGCTGACCCTCACTTTATCAAGCATGATGTCCTTCTCCAGGGACTAGTCCCTCCTGATAACATGTCCAAAGTACACGAGACAAAGTCTCACCATCCTCACTTCCAAGGAGGATTCTGGCTGTACTTCTTCCAAGACAGATTGGTTCGTTCTTCTGGCAGTCCATGGTATAGTCAATATTCTTCACCAACTCCATAATTCAAAGACATCAATTCTTCTTCGGTCTTCCTTATTCATTGTCCAGCTTTCAGATGCATATGAGGCGATTGAAAATACCGTGGCTTGGGTCAGGCGTACCTTAGTCCTTAAAATGACATCTATGCTTTTTAACACTTTAAAGAGGTCTTTTGCAGCTAATTTGCCCAATGGAATGCGTCGTTTTATTTCTTGACTGCTGCTTCCATGGGCGTTGATTGCATCTCGTAGATTGTTACTGAGTCTTCCTCCAATCCCGATGCCCCATTCTGCTTCATATAGTCCAGCTTCTTGGATTATTTACTCAGCATACAGATTGCATAAGTATGGTGAAAGCATATAACCCTGACACACACTTTTCCTGACTTTAAACCACGCAGTATCCCTTTGTTCTGTCCGAGCAACTGCCTCTTGATCTATGTACAGGTTCCTCATGAGCACAAGTAAGTGTTCTGGAATTCCCATTCTTCAAAATGTATACCACACATACACACATGCCATATGCACACACACACACACACACACACTTTTCCTTCCTCTTGTCCTCTCTACTCCCTTCCTTAACGTCCAAGGCCAAGTCAGAGGCTACCTGGGCAGGCTGGGCTGGGCTGAGCTGGGCTGTAAGCGGCTCCTGGGGCACTCACCCTTGGGCGCTGAGCACCTCCCTTTGGGCCCAGGCACAGGGAGAGGGTGGGGGAAGCTTCCCCCAGGAGAGGCCTGGCCAGCTGTCCCCTCCTGGGGACTGTCGGCTTACCTGGAGTGGACTCGCCTGCTCTCTCTCATCGCCCCTTCCTCGCTCTCCCTATGGGCTCTCTCCCGCCACCCTGGGCTGGTGAGGCCAGGCCAGGGCGTTCACTGAGGGAGGCACAGGCCACCCCAGCCAGGCTGGAAGAGCCTTCTCACTGCACCCCTGCAGGCTCAGCCTCCCAGCTCCCTGGGCTCCACAATGGAGGCCTGCTGGTAATGGGTTTCCCTGCTGGCCACTGTCCTTTGAGCTTCCACTACCCCCTGGAACCTTGGGGGATAGGCCTCCCTGGGGACAGAGTTGGGGGCTCCTTGCCAAGTGCCCCCTCACCCTCTGCCCTGACAGCAGCTCCCACTGACTGCGTCCTCTGCGTGGGGCTGCAGAGTTCCCGGTGAGCCTCCGTGCGACCCTGCCATGTGGTCAGCCTAGAACCCATGCCCCCAGCCAGCCTGTGTCTTTCTTATCAGTTGGCAGCCCGGTGGACGGCCTCCAGTGTCCTCATGCTGAAAAGGTCCATGGAGAGAATGAGTGTATTCTGAGAGTGATGAGAAGCTGTTGGGGGGTTCTGGGCCAGGGGACAGGGCATGACAGCTGGTGCAAAGGCCCTGAGGCAGGTGTGTGTTCAGTGTGATGAGGGGCTGGTATAGACTGGGAGGGAGAGTACTGGGGGATGACGCTGGAGAGGTGGGCAGGGGGCTGAGTCCCGTGGACCCCACAGGTTTGTGGGAGAGAATCATTTATTCTGAGAGAGATGAGAGCTATTGGAGGGTTTTAGCCAGGGCAGGAGGTGGAGACCGGGGAGGCATGATCTGGTTTACGCTTTAAAGGGCTCCATCTGGCTGCTGGGGGGAATGGATAGGAGGGCTAGGAGTGGAGGAGGGAGACCCTTTGGGCAGGGGGCTGCTGCTGCTGCCCAGGTGAGGGGCAGTGGGGCTGGATGGGGCAGGGAAGGGGGCGGTGGTCCTATTTACTAAGGGAGACAGTCAGGGACGCCTCCAGCCCTAGGATGTGATAACGGCAGATGTTTTGAAGTGCTAGCCAAGTATTTCATATTAAAAAAAAAAAAAAAAATTTTTTTTCAGAAAGAACCTTCTAGAAGCATCTGCTCTTGTTTGTTGTTAGGTGCTATGGAGTCAGTTCTGACTCATAGCGGCCCTACGCACAGCAGAACAAAACGCTGCCAGGCCCTGTGCTATTCCCACAGTTGTTGCTGTGTCTGAGCCATTGCTGCAGCCACTGTGTCGATCCATCTTGCTGAGGTTGTTGCTCTTTTTCACTGACCCTCTGCTTTACCAAGCATGATGTCCTTCTTCAGGGACTGGTCCTTCCTGAGAACGTGTCCAAAGTAAGCTTCACCATCCTGGCTTCTAAGGAGCCTTCTGGCTGGACTTCTGCCAAGACAACATCTAGTTCAACTTATTTTTTTCCCCCAAAGCGTAGTACCTTTCCTTGATTTTGCTGAGACTCAGCAGCAGTGTGGACCCTTTAGTTCCGGCAGGAATTAAAGGGACTGTACCTAGGAGTTAAAGGAGTCTTGGTGGCACAGTGGTTAAGAGCTCGGCTGCTAACCAAAAGACTGGCAGTTCAAATCCACCAGCGGCTCCTTGGAAACCCTGTGGAGCAGTTCTACTCTATCCTCTAGGGCCACTATGAGTCGGAATCAACTCGATGGCAATGGGTTTGGACCTAGGAGTCAAAGGAGCACTGTTGGCGAAGTGGCTGAGTGCTCCGCTGCTAACCGAAAGGTGGGTGGTTCAAACCACCAGCCGCACCATATGGGAGAAAGATGTGGCAGTCTGCTTCCATAAAGATGACAGCCTTGGAAACCCCATGGGGCAGTTCTGCTCTGTCCTACAGGGTTGTAAGAGTTGGAATCGACTCAATGGCAGTGGTGAGTTTGCGTCCCCAGGAGTCCCGGGGTGGTGAAAACGATTAAGCACTTAACTGTCGTAACCGAAAGGTTGGCAGTTTGAACCCACCCAGCGGAGCCTCGGAAGAAAGCCCTGGTAATCTGCTTCTGAAAGGTCACAGCCGTTGAAAACCCTATAGAGCTGAGTTTTCCTCTGACACACACGGGGTCACCATAAGTTGGAACTGACTCTGACACGTTTCCAGTAAACTCCCCTCGTGTTTTCCTTGCATGGTCTCGAAGAACGGGATGCCTTCGACACCCTTTTCGACCACGCCCCAGACAAGCTCAGCGTGGTGAAGAAGGTAAGCTTGCCTTTGGATTTTCTGTTTCTCTCATCCCCGGCCCAGAACAGCATGAACTCCGTGCTGGGAAGAAGGTGGGGAAACGTTTGAAATCTCTGAAATGTTTGCCACATGGATTGAAATGTAATTATAGTCAAAAACGTAACTGCAGTGCATAAAATTAGCACCTTTTAATTCAACGTCTCTGCGCCCTGGGTATCTTCCTGCCCACCCGCCTCACTTCTGCTGAGTGAATTACCCAGCCGGCGCCGCATGGTAGTTAATTCCGACTCGAGGCTTTTTTTTCCAGAGCGGAAATGTTTTTAAGCATGTCAGCCTGCTGACTCTCGCCGGCCTCATTACCATGAAGCTGCATTCACAGCCTGCCCAGTAAACAAACATGGGCTGTGCCGTCACAGCTGCTAGGTTTGCAGTCTTGGCTGCTGCCCCTGCAAACAGGAGCACAAACCAGGCCTTCATCAGCCCGGGCAGCCGGCTGGCAAACATACGGGTGGAGAAAAGTGTGCGACCCCAACCCTCAAGGGAACTGAGACTCACCCGCACAGAGTTATCTGAGCACCTGCAGGCGGCTCCCTGGGGTGGCAGCGGTAGGATGGATGGATGGATGCGCCTTCCTCCCTCCCTCCCTCCCTTCCTCCTTCCCTCCTGTAGAACCTGAGGAACAATTATGTCTGCTCTCCTCTGCTAGGACATTTTCCCCAAACAGGTTTCTTAACTGCAGGACTTCTCATGGCCTTTAATATGCTGCCATGCAATGCAGTTCTCTAAGAGGGGGCTTGGAAGGGAGCATTTTCCACATGTATCCGTGATGTTATTGTGGTTAGGTGCCGTCGAGTTGGTTCCCACTCATAGCGACCCTGTGTACAACAGAACAAAACACTGCCCGGCCCTGCACTATGCACACAATCGTTGTTATGCTTGAGCCCATTGTTGCAGCCACTGTGTCAGTCCATGTCCTTGAGGGTCTTCCTCTTTTTCGCTGGCCCATGATGTCCTTCTCCAGGGACTGATCCCTCCTGATAATATGTCAAAGTATAGTCTCACCATCCTTGCTTCTAAGGAGCATTCTGATTGTACTTCCTGCAAGACAGATTTGTTCGTTCTTTTGGCAGCCCATGGTAGTGGGATTTATTTATCTATTTGAGGGCGAACATATTAGATTCCTTTGGAACCTGCTTTGGAAAATGTTGGTCTGGGCTTGGATAATGAGGTCATTAGTTCTTGGAAGCACTTTGCAAGGGGCCCTTCTGGGATGGAGCGTTTTTAGCACTGTCACAAGTGCACCGGGGGGTTGCTTCTCGGGTGAGGAACATACTTCGGAGCCTCAGAGCAGTCCCTTTCCCCCACCCCACTCCCACCACACCGGCCCCCGCGGACCTTGACAGAGCAGTTCAGTGGATGCTCTGTGCTGCTCATCACAGCTCCCCTCTGTGCACGATTCATGTGCACGTTGCACGTTTCACATTGCATGTTGCACACGCGCGTTTCGGTTGCCTGTTTCATGTTACCTGTTGCACACACATGCTTCCCGTCCAGGTTGCACATTTCCCGTTGCTGGTTTCACTTTCCGTGTTCCACATGCGTGTTGCATGGTTCACGTTGCATGTTCCACGTGGAAACACACACACATACACACACACACACACACACACACACACACACACACACACACACACACGGTGTGCATACGCACAGCCATGCTGCAGGATCTCAGGGCAGGACTCTGTCTTTATGTCCCCAGCACCAAGCAGAGCGCCGGGTGCATAGTAGGTACTCAGTAAATGTGAGGAAGCTGAATAAGTGAACGAGGAAATGAATCAGTTCCAGGAGTGAAGTGTAGCATTATTGCATCGCCATTAAAGTTGGATTTGATTGCTAAGAAAAGTTACCAGTGAGCAGTTTTAAACGCTTGCCTTGGTGGAGAAGCGGTACAGCCTGGCGCGCAGGTCACAGGCCTCCGAGCACCCCGCTGCCCTGCAGCCAGGCCGGGGTGGAGGTTCTCCGTTTATTGAAAGTGGTGGACACGGCCCGAGGAGGCCTTTCCTCGCGGTCTTCCACATGTGATGTCGTCGTTCAGCGTTATACCTAGGATACATTTAACACTGTAATTACCTTCCCCCACAGTTTTATCCTTCTTAAGGCAGTGGTTATTCTTCTGCGTGACTGCATGGATAAGCATGTGTCCATGTGGACTGAGGAATAAATAGGTGTGTTTTCTTTGCCAGCTGCGATAGATTTCAGCATTAGGGGGAAAAGAGGGAGCCATTGCTTGCGGGGGCACTGAGCTTCTGATAAGAGGGGTGGGAAAATTTGGAAATGAGTCGTGGTGAGGGCTGCGTGACATGATAAACGCGATGATGTCACTGAGTCGTACAGGCAAAAAATGTTGAGAGGGCGAATGTTTTGCTGTATCTCTGCTCACCACAAGGAAAACAAAAACTCGAGGGGAGGTAAGAGCTTTTCGTTTTAAACACGGGCCTTTTAGTGTAGCGACAGAGGACCTTACAGAGGCGTCCCACCAAGCTGGTGATGCCACGTGTTGGGTGTCCTCCGCCGGGGGGGACTGACCGTTGTCACTCACTGTTCCCTGTGTCTTTCTGCCCTGACAGTCTCTTATCACGTTTGCGAATAAGCACCTGAACAAGCTGAATTTGGAAGTGACGGAGCTCGAAAGCCAGGTACAGAGTGTCTTGTGTTGAGGATCCTTTGTGCTGGTGGCACAGTGGGTTAGGCACTCAGCTGCTAACTGAAAGGTCGGGGCTTTGAACCCCGCAGCCACTCCGCAGGAGACAGACGTGGCGGTCTGCTCCCGTAAAGATTTATAGCCTTGGAGACCTATGGGGCACTTCTGCTCTGTCCTACAGGGTCACTAGGAGCTGGAATTGACTCGATGGCAGTGGGTTTGGTTTTGGTTTTTGGCTTAGCGCTTTCTATTATCTCCCAGGCTCTCCCCGAGAGCCCCCATCTCGCTGCCTAGTGAGACGGGGCATTTTCTGCACACGTTTTCCAAAGGAAAAAGAGCATTGCAGAAGGCTTGGTCCCTGATGGATTTGATCCCCAGGTGGATGTGGTGGCAAAGTTGGCCACCTTTTGTTCACCTAACAAGGAATTTCCATCGCACAGCCAGTTCCAGCTTCCCTGGCCTTCTCTCAGACCCTCCCAGGCACCACGTCGTCCCCACCGCAGGGCCTTTGCACGTGCAGGTCCCTCAGCCTAGAACGTTCTGTCCTCTTCTGCTTCTGCTCTCCATTGCAGTCCTTGCCCTCAGCACTGTGGCCAGCACCTAGCAAACGCCTGATAAATATCCATCCCAGGAATAAAACCACAACCAAACCAGTTGCTATAGAGTTGATTCTGACCCATGGCGACCCCATGTGTGCAGAGTAGAACTACTCCGTAGGGTTTTCCAAGCTGTGACCTTTCAGAAGCAGATCACCAGGCCTTTCTTTCAAGGCACCTCTGGGTGGGTTCGAACTGCCAACCTTTCAGTTAGCAGCTGAGTGCATAACCGTTTGCAACACTCAGGGACGCCATCCAAAGAATACGTACGAAGTATTTCTCTTGTATCAAGTGTATAAAGCATACCTCTTCCCCACACTCAAAGCTAAAGTAGCACAGTGAAAATATGTTTTTGAGCCCGTGGCAAGCATTCAAGACAAAATACAATTTTCCCAGGATTAGCGGGTGCTCAAATTTGGAGTCTTTTGAGTTCTTGGTACAGACTTCTCTGATGCACAGCTGATCCTTTTTAAGCCCCTGGGTGATTGCTTTCACTTCTTTCTCTTTCACTTTTCTCATTTGCTTTTCTAATTAAAAAAGCAATTCAGGTTCATTGTCGAAATGTCTGAAAATGCAGATAAGCAAAACAAATAAAAAACTTCCTGTAATCCCCCCACCTGGAGGTGACTGCTGTGAGCTTTTTCTCAGACCTTTTCTCTACATGCACGTGGTTCATCGTGGGCAACAGTGGGGCTGCCTTGAAAGTGGAATCATCCGTTTTTAATGTGTATATTTATGTATGGAGCCCTGGTGGTGCAGTGGTTAAGAGCTCAGCTGCTAACCAAAAAGTCAGCAGTTCAAATCCACTAGCCTCTCCTTGGAAACCCTATGGGGCGGTTCTACTCTGTCCTATAGGGTCACTGTGAGTTGGAATTGACTCGATGGCAATGGGTCTGGTCTGGTCTGGCCATATTTATGTATGGATTGTTTGCAAACACATGTTCTTTTTAGAAGTTGACCAATGTCGCACATTTAGCCTCTGATTATTTGCTGTTTGATATATAAACAGTGTGGAGGTCTGCTTAAGTGAAAAGTAAAAGTTTCACCTTACCTACCACCTCTCCCCCTCCCCTCTCCGCCCCATCACACCCTCCAGAGGTAATCACTATGCTTAACAGTTGGATGCGTATTTTTCTAGATATTCTATGTACATCAACGACAGTGGATCACACTGGACAGCTGTTTTGTAATGCGTTTTTTGTTACTAAATATATTGTGGGCGTGTTTTTGTGTGAGTATGTGTGGGTGTATGTATTTCTGTCCCACCCTCTGTCTGATGCTCTGTCGATCTATCAGTCTATCTATCCATCTATCTTTCTATCTGTCTGTTTCTCTCTATCTGCCTACCCATCTATTTTATCGCTTTTAATGGCTGCCTTCTATCCAACTGTAGGAGCCCCTGGGTGGTGCAAACAGTTACTGTGCTCGACCGCTAAATGAAAAGTTGGTGGTCCGAGCCCACCCAGAGGTGCCTTGGAAGAAAGTCCTGGCGATCTACTTCCAAAAAAATCAGCCACTGAAAACCTTATGGAGCACAGTTCTTCCCTGACACACATGGGGTTGCCGTGAGTCGAACACACATCCAGTTGTCAGGCTCCGCTGCCCTTCGGTAAACTAATCCCTTATTACTGGACGTTTTTCTGCTCCTGTAATGAACAGTACAGGGAGCATGGGTGCACAGCTCTTTGTGCCCTTGCCTGCTTATTTCCCGAGGATCAACTTTTACACACGGAGTTACAGCAAAGGCAGGACACACTGTAAGGGCCAGAAAGGCTTGAGCACCAGCTGTTCTCATCAGCACGGGGAGAACATCCTTGTCAGCTGACTGTCATTCCGGCATAGACCCCATCCCCAGTGCTGACAGTCGCAGCATCTTAGACGGGGACTTAACTGTGCACTTAACTTTCTTTACTCAGTAGCTTCTTTTTTTTTTTATATCTTCCCACTATCTAGAGTTCTTAGGCATATTTTCAACCATGGTCCACAAGAAAAGATCACTGGCCACAGCAATGCAGAGAATTGTCTTCTTTTGTTGCAAAGGAATTTGGATTTTTTATGAGTATAAAACCAAAACCCAAACCTGTTGCTGTCAAGTCAATGAAGACTCATAGCGACTCTATAGGACAGAGTAGAACTGCCCCATAGGGTTTCCGAGGAGTGGCTGGTGGATTTGAACTGCCAGCCTTTCGGTTAGCAGCCAAGCTCTTAACCACTATGAATATATTAATCATTAAATCTTGATGCCACGGGAGTCAGAGAGACAAGAGTTCAAATGCTTGCTCAGGCATGTGTGCATGTGTGCGTGTGTGTGTGCGTGTGCGTGCGAGTGTGTGTGTGCATGTGTGAAGCCAGTGAGAAGCCCAGGTCCTGAGAGACGCCCCAAGGCCCTGAGCTTGGCATTTTGCACCTGCTCCTTTACCTGCTGGCTCGAGATTCTCAGCCAGAATAAAAGGAGAGCTGGATGGTTATATTTTAAAATAGCTCCCTCCTCCTGAATAGGCGCAGAGTATGTGCCGATCCAGACACTTCCCAGAAACCTGACCAGGTGTTTCTCTTCAGTTTGCAGATGGCGTGTACCTGGTTCTGCTCATGGGCCTTCTGGAAAACTACTTTGTCCCTCTCCACAACTTCTACCTGACCCCAGACAGCTTTGACCAGAAGGTACGTGGACTGTCTCAGTCCTCAGTGGTGGCGTGAGAAAAGCTTGTGGAAATGCACAGCATAGAATATCCTGACAGCGCTTCCTGCAGCCCGCCTTCGTTCCTCAAAACATAACAATTTCACAACAAGTGGCATTGCAATTGGATGTCGCTGGAGGTAAAGGGAGAAGAAACCCAGCCGCAATGCCCTGCCCAACCAGGGTGTGGTTACCCTGCACCTGTCTGGCTTTTTTTCCATGGGACTCTGGCGTTTTTAATAATTACAGCCCAGCGTCAGGACAGTTGAAAATCCTTCCTTTCTCATGCCATATTTACGCCACGTCTGCTTGTGCCTGTCGCTCCGTGCACTTCCTAAATACCATTTTCAGGTGGCCCTGCTGCCAGCGTCTTCATTGTTCCCTGCTCTTGAGCAATCGAGTTTTTTTTCTGTGTTCTTCCTTATTAAAAACAAGAGGGTCAGCGTTCATTGCCGCATTATTCACAATAGCCAAAAGGTGGAAACCACCCAAGTGCCCATCAGCAGATGAATGGATAAACACAACGTGGTAGACACATACCGTGAAATGTTGCTCAGCCATAGAGACAAATGAAAACGTTATACTGAGTGGAAGAAGGCAGACATGAAAGGTCACATATTTTGGGATTCCGCTGATTTGAAATACGGTGAAACCTGTGGGAGCCGGAACTTGACGGGACTGCCTGTTTTTTCCGGGTCTCGCAAGTTTTCCGCCTTTGACGGGGCACAGTCTTACCACTTTTCTTTCTATTGCTCGTTTTAGTGGAAAATATTGGAGTTCTCCTGCTCTGACAGGTTTCTTCCTTACACAGGTTCCGGCTTTGGCAGGTTTCGCTATATCTAGAACAGGCAAATGGGTACAGATAGAAAGTAGATGAGTGGTTATGGGGGACTGAAGGGGGAGTTACCACTTAATGGTCCCAGAATTTCTGTTTGGGGTGATGAACTGTTTTGAAAGACAGCTGGTGGTGATGGTTGTCCAACGTGGCGAATGAATGAATGCCACTTAAAATGGTGAAAACAGTGAAGTTTAGGTTAGATATATTCTACCAGAAGAAAATTCACAAAACAACAGTCGGACCACGACAACGCAGGGTGCTAATAGCAGCGTGGCTGGAGGAGCGGCAAGTGGGAACCCCTCATTCTTTCTGCACAGCTTTCCTGTAAACGTAAAACCACTCTAAAAACATAAAGTCGGTTAAAAATATAAAGCAGGAGTCCCTGGGTGGCGCAAATGACGACGCGCTCGACTGGTAGGCAGAAGGTGGGCGGTTTGAACCCACCCAGAGGTGCCTTGGAAGTTAGGCCTGGAGATCTGCTTCTGAAAGGGTCACAGCCTTGAAATCCGTGGAGCAGTTGTACTCTGCACACACGGGTTCGCTGTGCATCGGAGTCAACCCCACGGCAACCAACAAGGGCAAAGGTTGATTGTGAGGATTGAATCACCTTTTGTAGTTTAGCTCAGTTCCTAGCATATGGATCTAATAAATAGATGGTATCTATCCTTCCAAAAGGAGCCCTGGTGGTGCAGTGGTTAAAGCGATTGACTGCTAACCGAAAGGTCAGCGGTTTGAAACCACCAGCGGCCCTGCAGGAGAAGGTTGTGGCAGTCTGCTTCTGTAGAGATTTACAGCCTTGGAAACCCTCTGGGGACCCTGTGAGTCAGAACAGACTGTATGGCAATGGTTTATATATACGTATATAAAGCAGCTGGAATATTACAACAACAAATGCATTAGGATGTCTTCTTAGATGTTTTTGTTCTAGTCCTTTGGATTGTTTACTTAGGAAAATTCCTGAAATAAGATGGCTTGGGTCCCAGGGCCTCTCATTTAGATTGGGGTTGGCACGTGCTGGTTACACTTTTGTCCACGTGGTGAGTGGGCTTCCTTCTAGTTTGCCTCCTGCCTGAGGCTCCCGGAGTTCGGCAACCGTATCTGGGGCACTGCCTTCAAAAACTTGGCTCATGCCCTGTCCATATTGGTGTGGACTCACAGGCCGCTGACATTTTATATTCCTGAAGTGTCAGAGCGGGAGGTCTGGGAGGCAGACCATGTAAGCCGGTGGTGGCAGACAAAAACAGCCGGACTGTGGGGCCAGGATTTATCCATCTGCACACTCCTGGCACCCCGCAGTCTGGTGCTCCTGTCTTGTCTGTTGAGAGGGAATCAGAACAGAGTAGAAAGGTCTTGGCAACTTTGAGTCCACGTTGGATCAAGAGAGCGAAGGAGCAAGAAGGGGCCGAGGGAGTGTGCAGAACTGGGCAGAACCTGGGCAGGAAATGATGCCACTTAAAATGGTTAAAATGGCAAATGTTATGTTAAATGTATTTTACCTGCCATTCTAGACATAGAAGACGGATAATTTGGTTTAGAGGTTCGTGCACTTCCAGACTCTGGCATGACTGATTGCAGAAACCTCTCTTTAGAGAGGTTTTTCCTTTGTTCATGCTAAGAGCAGGCTGGCAGGCATGATGCATTGAGCCTGGAGGTCTGGAGCTGGGCTTCTCTCAAAGCTAAGGCGGCATCGCCCCGGCCTGCTTTCTTCATTTTGAGGCAAGGATGAAAGTCTTTGTCAGCTGCTGCCCTGGCCTGGGAGGTGGCAAGGACGCCTGAATCATCCACCTTCGCTTCTGAATAGGTAGTGTGAAGGGAAGCTATTTTAGGGACAATGCTGTCCATCCCAGCAGCACACTCTTCACCTCGGTGATTCTCCTGGAAGGGAGTCGTAGAGGCAGCCGAGCTCTCTCTTCAGAGTGAGGAAATTTCTTTTTTTTTGGTTTAAATACACACAAGAAAATATGCACCTGTTCAACAGTTGTTCCAGAGGGCCTCTAACTTCACGAGGGGGGAAGATCAAAATCAGCTTCAGCCCAATGCTGATTCCTGTGAGGTGGGGCTCAGACATAGCTCCTCTCTCCAACCTTTTTACTGAATTCTGACACCAGCTGTCCCTCCCACGGCTCTCTCTACTTCTCCGCTGGGTTCGATAATTCATTACAATGGCGGCACACAACTCACAGACCACCCTCACGATTGTGGGGTTTATTAAGGAAGCAGCAGGTTACGGTTCAGGAGACAGAATACAGTCCATCAATCAGGACAGCCCCAACCAAGATAGCTGTCAGTGGAGGCGGGCCTTGCTCTCGGCCTCTGCTGTCACCCTCGATCTTGACCTCAGCCCTGCCTGAGTAAGTGTTAGAGCTCTGTTGCTCTGGTGGTAAGTGCCCGGAAGCACCCACTCTTCCAGGAAGGCTCCTGCTGAAGGCACTCAGCTCTCTCGCTCCGTGGGTCAGTGAGCTGGTGGCAGCTGTCTGCTGGTTCCGTGCCGCTGCTGTCTCGTACCACTGCCGCCTCTCACAGACTCTCACTGTCTTCACTGTTACACCTGTGTCTGTCTCCTGGGTCTAGGAGGGCCTCAACACAGGGACCCCAGGTCTAAACAACATGCTCCGCTCCTGGCTCTTCTTCTTGATGGTAGTGAAGTCTCCCCCAGCTTTTGTGGGATTGGCTCTTTTAAGCCTAGCAGTGTGGCAAAACTAAACAACTCCCTAGATAGGCCACAGCCACTTAGTTTGCATAGTAATTGACCAATCCCTGCAAGTGTTTTACACACCTTATTTGCATAGTAGACTAACCAATTTCTTTGCAAGATTGTGGCCTACCAAATCATCTTAGCAGGACTACAAACCCAGCACAAGGAAGGCCATATATAGAGAAACCCATTGCCCTGCAACAATTTGTATATGTACAGTTCATGACAATGATTACATTCTTCACAGTGTGTCCTCATTCTTCCTATCTCTGCCCATATTGTTTCACCGCCATTAACTTAGACTCTCTGCCCCTTACAGTTCTCATCTGTGGTTTAGAGTTACTGTTGTCATTTTAATCTCATATAGGTAATTCTTTAAAATAGGGTGCAGTGCTAAAGATATACATTCTTTATTTATTGAGCTAAATTGTTGTTTAGTTTAAAGATGACTTCACGGGATTGTTTCGGCTCAAGGTTCAAAAGTTGTTTCTAGGCAACTTTTGATTTGGGGATCCCTCCAGTGTCAACATGTCCAGTAAGTCTGGTTTCCAATAAGAATTTGAAGTTTCAGTCCTCAATTTTCCTCCTTTTGGTCAAGATCCATCTGTTGGGTCTTGGATCAGAAGGGTTCACTAATGGTAGACGGCCACCATCCGTTTCTTCTGGTCTCATGGCAAAGGAGGTAGTATTTCATGGAGGCAATTAGACCTACAAACTGTTTCCTTCTCTGATTCCTGGATCTCCTTCTTCTTGTGTTGTTCCAGGCAATTAGAAACCAAGTTGTATATTGGATGGCATCTGGAAAGCTTTTAAGACCCCAGGTACTACCCACTGAACTCAGAGGAAGTGCAGATTAAAATAATATTAGGCAAATTGGCCAAGCTCATATAACCATCTGGTGGTTTCTTATCTCACCTGGCTTGTCCCCGGCCCCAGGATTATCTTTCCCCCTTGTCTTAGGCTGGGTTCTCTAGAGGGGCAAAACTGGTGAGGCGTTGTTGTTGTTAGGTGCCACTGAGTCGGTTCCAACTCATAGTGACTCTTTGCACAACAGAACGAAACACTGCCCTGTCCTGTGCCATCCTCACAATCACATAAATATATATAGACAGAGATTTATTTCAAGGAAATGGCTCACACAGTTGTGGAGACTGGCAAGTCCTGAATCTGTGGGTCAGGCATCAGGCTGGAGGCTTCTCCTGACTCACATGGTTGCAGGGGCTGATGAACCCCAAATCTGCAGGTCGGACAGCAGGCTGCTGGCTCACATACCAAGAACCAGAGGTCAGAGGATGACGAGTCAGATGCAGGATTGAGAGAGGGCGAGCTTTGTCACAGCATCCATATATATTGGTTGCAGGCCACACCCTCAGGGAAACTCCCCTTTCAACTGATTGGCTGTTCACAACAGATCACAAAATGGAGGGTGGTTACATAATATCTGCCAAGCC